GGGTTCCACCACTTTTCAAATGGATCACTTCTAAATTAACATGATCTTCAGTACATAATACATCAGGAAAAACATATTTTTAATTCTGGTATCCTACCGTTTGCAGTACAGCAATGAGAAACAGAATAAACAGCAAAGATTTAATTCTTGGTAGAGGCATGGGAATTTTTCTCTTCACAGTCACATCAAGAATGTCTCTGAAATCAACCAACCTCTTAACCAATGAGTTCTTGGAACACCTCCACAGTGGTAAAGTTTGTTGAAGCACAAAATGACAAACCATCTAATTCCAACAGGATGAATGCATTGAACTACACATCCACATCCCTGGATATCACCAGATCCTTTTGACAGGGGAGCCAGGAAATTTGCTTACCAACTTTCATTTAACCTCTCTGTTTGCCTGGATTAATGCTGCAGACAGTGAAGCAGCAACAAGGTCATTTTGCTACTTTGTGTGACAGAGAAAAATATAAAGAGCTTGAAGTCATGTGGCATATATGTATTTCAAACCAGTGTGCAGCCGAGCTTACATTTTCTTCATAAAAAAACAAACTGTACAAGCCCCTGCACTCTTTTTTTTTCATGCCAGTAACAGCTGCACAGTAAGTGCGAATCACTGCAACTTGACAGCAATCTGTTTCTGTAGCATTCAGAATTACCCCATGGGTTGAATCCATTTACAAAGTTCTGATGCTAAACAACTGAACAGCAATGGGAAGGTATTTTATATGATGGTTAAAGTTAGAATCCAAGACGATGCCACCAAGTTGAGAGGAAATGGGAATACTTCTGACACTGAAGGTAAATAGGTTAATGAGCTACCCTGTCACACAGCTACCTTGCCCACCTAACATTACAATCTGTGCCAAACCTCATTTGCTCACTCCATTTACAAGCATCTTGATTTACATTACATTGCGTCAACAGCTCATTAGCAACAAGATATATAGGGGTCTCCTCCACACACAATACATATTCCAGGTGACACAAAATTAAATTAAATATCTCATAATTAAGAGGCTAAGTACTTGAATGAAAACTTTTTATTTTTTTTAGCTCCATGGATACATTACTGCACTTAAAATTTCCCTTATTTACATATAAAAAAATTAAATTAAATATCTGACAGGCCACACCATAGCTCAAGCGGTTAGTTGCTGGTTTCCCACCGTGGCGGCCCAGGTTCGATCCTCGGTCTGGTCAAGTGCGATTTGTGGTGGACAAAGTGGCACTGGGGCGGGTTTTCTCCGAGTACTTCGGTTTCCCTTGTCAATCTTCATTCCACCAAATTCTCCATCATCATAATCACCCGGGGCAGGTACAATAGGCCAATCAATGGCTGCCGTGCCAAGTGGACCCAGATGGACTCCACCCCCAAGCGAAATATCTCGTAACTAACAGGCTAAGTGCTAAGTCCTCAAATGGAAACACTTTATTTTTATTACCACCATGTATATGTTTACATTCTTAAAATTACCCCCCTTTATCACAGCCATGCAATCATTATGCACTTATATAATACTCTAACTGCACCAAACAATGAGGGAAACCAGTTGGGACCGAAATTAAACCGGACACATCAGCTGTTGGACTATGCTGATGATGTAAATCTACTGGGTGATAATGTAGATACCACAAAGGAAAACACACAAACTTTAACTGACTCTGGTAAAGAGGTTGGTCTAGAAGTAAACACAGAGAAAACTAAGTATATGTTGCTGTCTCATCACCAAAATACAGGGCAAAATCATAACATAAAGACAGCTAACAGTTGTTCTGAAAATGTAGCACAGTTCAAACATTTGATAACAACAGTAAGAAATCAAATTGATTCAGGAGGAAATTAACAGATTAAGTTCACGTGATGCTTGCTACCATTCAGTCCAGAACTTTTTGTCTTCTCATCTGCTGTCTAAAAATGTACAAATTAAAATATACAAAACTATAATTTTGCTTGTGGTTCTATATGGGTGTAAAACTTGGTCTCTGACATTAAGGGAGGCACATACACTGAGGCTGTTTGAGAACAGGGTGTTGAGGAGAAGAGAGATGAAGTGACAGGAGGNAAGGTTGAAGGAGGTTGAAGAAAACTACATAATGAGGAGCTTCATAACTTGTACTCTTCTCCAAGCATAATTAGAATGATCAAGTCAAGGAGGATGAGGTGGGCAGGTCATGTAGCACGAATGGGGGAGACGAGGAATGCGTATAGGATATTGGTGGGAAAGCCANATAAAGACAGCTAACAGTTGTTCTGAAAATGTAGCACAGTTCAAACATTTGATAACAACAGTAAGAAATCAAATTGATTCAGGAGGAAATTAACAGATTAAGTTCACGTGATGCTTGCTACCATTCAGTCCAGAACTTTTTGTCTTCTCATCTGCTGTCTAAAAATGTACAAATTAAAATATACAAAACTATAATTTTGCTTGTGGTTCTATATGGGTGTAAAACTTGGTCTCTGACATTAAGGGAGGNGAGGGAAACCAGTTGGGACCGAAATTAAACCGGACACATCAGCTGTTGAAGGTTGAAGGAGGTTGAAGAAAACTACATAATGAGGAGCTTCATAACTTGTACTCTTCTCCAAGCATAATTAGAATGATCAAGTCAAGGAGGATGAGATGGGCAGGGCATCTAGCATGAATGGTGGAGAAGTGGAATGCATAAAGGATTTTGGTGGGAAAGGCAGAAGGAAAGAACCACTTGGAAGACCAAGATGTAGGTGGGTGGATAATATTAAAATGGATCTTAGAGAGACAGGATGGGGTGTTATGGACTGGATTGATCTGATTGAGGATAGGGACCAATGGGAGGCTCTTATGAACACGGTAACGAACTTCTGGGTTCCATAAAATGTTGAAATATTATTGAGCAGCTGCACAACTGGCAGCTTCTCAAGAAGGACTCAGCTCCATGAGTTAGTTATGTGAAGTGTAGTAGGCCATATAAAGGAGAGGGTTTAAAGCTGACTATTTGTTATGTGCTATTCATAAGAGATGGCATTAACATCAATCTCAACAACATACAGAACTGGAGTGGAATACAGCAGCAAAGGGGAAATTAATGGCACAAATTTTATATAGAGATGAGACTTCCCTTGAAACTCTCATTGGGCGTTATGCTAGTTACATATAAATAAATATGTATATTATGATAACATTGCCCATGAAAGTTCATTAACATTGTATAACTGCTGAATCAATAAACAGTTTTGTAATCTCTATGTTAAAATGTTTTAAAGTGCTTGTTGACATATAAATAACTAAAATAGGTCATCCCTGTTCAACTGTTTGCCTCCCTCAAGGCCACCACCTTAATGTACTGAGGAGATTGGTGTGCTCTGATCACCTAGAGAGCTATCCCAGTTGGATGTTGTAAGTGCCTGGTAGTCACCCATGTTAGATAAGTTAAAGTGTAGAGGCCAGAAGATGGCCCATGATCCTCCAGGTTTGGGGATGGAAGTGAGGCTAACAATTTGATCTCTTGAAACAGTGTGTTTAGGAACTAATGATAGCTGCTGAATGGAAAATTCTGGAAAATGACTAAGGCAAGGTTATATACTTTATGGAGGCTGAAAGAGAACAGACAAAAGCAAAAAACCAATAACACAAGAATCAGTATGAGTCATAAAGGAAGCCAATGTACTCAGAGGACCATGCATGTAGCCAAAAAGCAGATGTATTCATCTGATTGCTGTACTCACAAAATATCGACAGTCAGTGTAGTGACTAAACCAGTGTGGTTTGATTCCTGGCAAGGGCAAAGATTTTACCCTCCATCACCATATCCAGACAAGCTACGAGGCCCACCGATCATCTTATGCAAAGGGTTCTGGGGTCTCTTTCTCTGAGGATAAAGCAGGCGGGGCATTAAGTTTAACACTCACCTCAATTTACTGAAAGGGTTAAGAATGCTACAGAGGTACTCTCCAAGTTGTCTTCATGGCGTAGTATTTAATTAAGCACGTGAATAACTTCGCCTATATTTCACATACAGAATATTTCTTTTGTGGTTTGTATAATATAATAGCCAGACTGGTAATACAGTTTAGATAACATTAGCGCCACTCTGTGTATAGTTAATGCTTATTACCAATTACCCAGTGGCTGGAAAAGGACTTCGCATAACCGAATCACCATTATGTAAGGACGCGCCATAGCTCAAGCGGTTAGTAGCTGGCTTCCCACCGAGGTGGCCTGAGTTCAAACCCGGGTCTGGTCAAGTGGGAGTTGTAGTGGACAAAGTGGCGCTGGGGTAGGTTTTCTCCGAGTACTTTGGTTTCCCCTGCCAATCTTCACATTCCACCAAAAAATTCTCCATCATCATAATCATCCAGGGCAGGTACAATAGGCCAATCAGTGGCCGCAGTGCCGAGTCGACCCAACTGGACTCCACCCCCTTATATGTGTCGCAATCGCCATTATGTACCAAAAGCAGACTTAGATTTCCGTTCTTTATGGCTCTAACAGAGGCTTCAACTCTATGAAAAGATGTACTCATCTGAGGACTATAAAAGATCATATGCCACATTTTAGGGAAACAAGTAGATTACAGATTTTAGTTGACAATACAGATGTTTGCACAAAGGAGTCTACATGAGAGTAACATAACAGCAAACAACATTCAATATAGTATGTCAATTTTATTGCAGGCCAAACTGAAAGTCCATCAAAGAAGAGGAACTTTAAAACTGTGGTCTTCTGGTTTGTGAAGCCATGTACTGTGGTAAGCAGTTATCAGTGTGGAGGAACCTGCTACCTCCATCTTCAAGGTAGAAGAAACCACGAAGATGTACACAGTAGGTTCTTCCAAAACAAGAGTAACCATATACCAGGCTACACAGTATCACAAATCAGAACACCACAATTTAATCTTCTCCATCATGAAAACATCAAGTCTCATAAAGAAGAGGTGTAACACTACTAAAACTGGAATGTACTGGTTTTAGGATGAGGTTCAGTCTGAGAATATCCAACACTAAGAATGAAATGCATATCGTTTCTTCATATTTATTTTATTATGATTGTCAAACATCTGTGTCATCTACTTTGGCAAGCAACTAGTACTAGCAAAATTAAGAAGTAAATGATTTATTGACTCATACCTAATATCACAGCAAGACACATCTGAGGGAACCAAATATGCAGCAACGGTTCCATTAAGTGTCGTGATGTTCAAACAGTTGCCTTACATTCTCTTGAATGTCAGCAAACGGCTCTTGACAAATGTCACTAAGTACTGCAGCCACTTTTTCTTCTGTCAATGATGAATACTCAGGTTCAGCTGTTGATGGACACAACCAGAAGTGACCAATCATAAATGTGTCACTGAATTCCAAAAGCGGATGCTTTCATTTTCAAGAGATGATAACATGAGCACTGATTTTCATGTGATGAAAACTGACTACAGACAATACAGAAATCATACTGCAAAATCATAAATTTTAATGATGACAGAACCAACCAAAATTATACCACACATGCTATGCTACACAAGCATAATCACTTCCACTGAATTTTGTTGAATACTGAGATGATTTTACTGATTGTTGTATAGAGCAATTTGAGCTTCATGTAAAGTTGGATTGACAGTGGACAATTTAATACCAAAATGAAAACATATGGTGAATACTTTGCTTACTACATTTCAATGAAATCCAGTGAATAGTTTTGGAGATGAAACACTAGGAAAGATATGATATTCATGCATGATCTGTCCCTTATGCTCTAATTAGGCCGCGCCATAGCTCAAGCGATTAGTCGCTGGCTTCAAACCGCAGCGTCCTGGGTTCAATCCCGGGTCTGGTCAAGTGGGATTTGTGGTGGACAAAGTGGTGCTGGGGAAGGTTTCCTCCAAGTACTTCAGTTTCCCCTGCCAATCTGCATTCCACCGATTTCTCCACAATCACCCTCACCTATCATTTGGGGCTGGTACAAGAGGCCAGAAGTGGCCACAGTACAAGGGACTCAGTCCCACCCCACTAGCAATAAAAAAAAATAATATGCCCTAATTTAAAGCAAAGATTAATAGAAACTCACAAGGTCATCAATAAAGCCTATACGGCTTTTTGGACATGCAGAAGCATATTTGGTAAAACTTGGGGACTGCAGCCGCACGTTGTGCATCGGATGTACACTGTGGTTGTAAGACCTATAATTACATATGGCACCACAGTATCGTGGCCCAGAGTTAAACTCAAGACAAGCAAGGCAAAACTTAGCAAATTGCAAATGTTGGCTTGCTTGGGTATCACACGAGCAATTCAAACATCTCCAACAGCTGCACTGGAGACACTCCTTGGACTCCCCCCACTTCATCTACAGTTGGAGGCAGAGGCCAGGGCAGGAATCTACCGTCTCCAATGCAGGGATCAATGGAAACCTAGATCCAATAGTTTCAGACATGCATACATAACTCAGGACATGAAAAAAGAACCCATATTACAAATGGTCTGACAAAATGATACTCAAGACATGTATATGAAAAACAAATCTGACAGGAGTGAATGGGAAGATGGGTTTTGGCCTGACAGAAAAGGGGGACTGATCTGGTATACAGATGGTTCCAAGACAAATAAGAGTACTGGAGCTGGTGCGTACTGCTATGGCACAAGGCGGAAACTTAGTTTCAGCCTTAGACAGTATACTACAGTATTCCAGGCAAAAGTATATGCCATTAAAGCATGTATTATGGCGAATTTTGATATGAACTACAGAAATAGGAACATCTACATTCCATCTGACAGTCAGGCTGCACTTAAAGCGCTTGACAAACACCAGATCAACTCAAAATTGGTCTGGGATTGCTACCAAACCCTCATGGAACCGGCCAAACAAAACAGGGTACAAGTGATAAGGGTGCCGAGGCATGAGGGTATTGCTGGAAATGAAACAGCAGATCAATTGGCTAAGACTGGAGCTGAACATCTGTTCATAGGACCTGAACCAGCCTGTGGCATCTCCATAGGGGTTGCCAGAAAGGCAATCAGGGACTGGACAAATATGAAGCACAAGAAATACTGGGGATCCTTGACTGGACTCAGGCAAGCAAAGGGACTCATACGAGGACCATCTGCTAAAAGAGCGAAGGAACTGTTGAGGTTAAACAGGAACCAGCTATGATTGGTGGTGGGACTACTTACAGGACACTGTCACCTTAAAGGACACCTCTTCAAAGTGGGACTAAATGATAGTCCCACTTGTGAAAGGTGTCAAGAAGAAAATGAAACAGCCACACATATCCTGTGTGAATGTGAAGCCTTAGCTTGTTTAAGATTACATCACTTGGGTCAATATTTTATGGAACCAAGTGACTATTTTGACGCCATGTACAAAATCCTGTGCTTGAAATGAAGTGCAGGATTGCTGAGGGGCTAATCAAAAGGGGAACCACAATAGATCACTGTAGATCACAGTGCAAAGGCCGACAAGGCCCATCCCTTATACATTCATTCATTCATTCAAATAGAAGCTCATATTGATCCCACAGATAATTCTCTATACAATAAATTTAAAGGACACTCATTTATACCCCTTCCTCTATAATTAATTTTCAGGCAAGTTCCAAGAAACATTCAATTACAAACAAAGATTGAGTATGAAATTTCTGATCTACAAATAATAAAGCACAGCCCCATAATTATAGGCAGCAAAATTTCAACAATACACATACAAATGAAAAGGAATTTAAAATACTCTTCACCTGAATTCATCCAACAATTCCAAAATATAATTAACTAATTTCATACTCTAATTCCATCTAAAGAAATAATATGACTCTCTTATGAAGGTTGAACTATATCTTACTGAGCAAAGAATTAATGCATTGAAGAAATCTTTTCCAATTTTTCAGTAGTTCCATTCTCGTGACATTTGCAAACAACTTTTCTGCAATTCCCCCAAAGTCAAGTCAGCTCCTTGGTTTATCTGTTTACAAAATTGCATTTGTGATACTACTCAACTGAATGTTCTGTTGATTATAAAAGCAGCGTTCTGAATGCATTCATATTGTCAGTAAAATCCAAAATTAATAGAAGAAAATTCATTCAATAAATGAACTAACTTGGAGAAGACACTGCATTTAAAAAATAATACATCCTGATATTTTCTGATCTTTATACATAAACCCCCCCTCCACCTTATCGTGGTGAGGGGGTTTGAGTATGCCAAGGACCCTGAGAGCTATACCAGCGGTAGCGTAGCTACTGGCAGGGCCTCCCTTGCTGGACAGGTCAAAGGGTAGGCATCAGACGAAGAGAGACACCAAAAACTGATGNCTGTGAGAGCTCTACAATATGGCCACTTATTGTCAAAACTGGTCAGAAAACTTAAAATACATATTTTTTAAAAGGAAATATTTAAAACAAACTTACTTTTGATGATAAAATGTCCAAACAGCTCACACAATGCTGGGTTGAAAGCATCTAAATCTTTACAAGCTGTGGGATAAAAAATATAAATGTTTTAGTATTTACAAATACTCACCATAACCTATTATCTTATCATTTCTTTGTTAAATTACATTGATTATTACAATAACATTCTAAGAATGATATACAGTTAATGGTGCACAATGCAACAAATCATAAAAATTTAAGCAGCTGCAAATGCCTGCTGTAAATTTACATGATTTTTGTGTGATTTTGTGATTTAACAGTGCTGTAGAATATTGCATTTGTAAGAAATGAGGAAAAACACTTTGGGAATGAAAGCCTACAGTTCTGGGTAAGTCTGCAGTATGTAGAACCTACAATAATGAGGGCATACTTGGGCATAATTAAAATCAAACACAGTATAGAAAAATCAAGTCTTTGAATTTGGATCATTTAGGTCCATAGACCCATGATCTTGGTATCAGCACACATGTTACCATGACTGTGTGGATTATGTCATGTACATAGTTTATACAGCGAAAAATAACATGTATATATTGGGAATGGTGAGTATAAAGCACATGACAGTCACTGCTTATGCAATGTACAACCTGATATTCTTCTGGAGGAACTGAGGAAAACTACAAATAGTTCAGACAAGATAAATGGTTTTCCAGCCAAGATTTAAACAAGTCTAACTTATTGCTGAATTATGCTGTTCAGTCTAATTCTTCAGTGTTATTTCATTGTTAGAGGAAAGGCTGATTATTATACTTTCCATTACAGAGGTTCTCATCAACATCAATTCCATGCATCGGTTCTTCCACTCACACTTTGAGAGGTTCCAGGAATTAGTTTCCCTTTCTGTTGACCATATAACTTGCAAATTGATAGAATAGCTTTAAATCTGGTAGACAGAAAAAGGGGGTTGAAAATGAAACAAAGTTCAATAATGAACTGTGCTGATCTAGCAAAGGCAGTTCCCTATTTCCTTAAATTTTCACTTTATCCATTTGGCCAAATCAATGTGACTTCCATACTTGTCTGTCCATGTGATTCATAAAGACAGAATGGCAAGCCTCAAGCTTTTATAAACATGTATATGTGTAGTGCTTCTCACAGTGGCCATGTACTCTAAGGTATGAAATGTCTTTGCCTGCTTGGACACTGGGATCTTGGGCTCAAATCCCACTCAAGGCATGGATGTTTGCATTTATTCTGTTTGTGTTGTCCTGTGTAGGTAGTGGCCTTGCAACAGGCTCATCTCCTGTCCAAGGAGTCCTACTGACTAAGATTGAAAAACTGAAGTGAAACAAAGCGTTTCACGAAGGCCCTATGCTCCAAGTGGGAGCATAAGGCTACCAAATGCAGTTGGTCAGTTGATTTCTAATGCTACACTTTGACAAGTTATTTGTGCTTTCAAGCTTAGCTGGTTGGCATATTTGTAATTCATTTTCTATTAAGACACTATCAAATATATGGGTAAATACAGATTTCAAAAAACAGCCTCAATTATTTTCCATTCTATACAAAAGCTATACAACATAAAAATCCAAATCAAGTTTAACAAAACCTTGTCAACTGGTTCAGAAGTTATTAGGTAAGAACATGCAAACAAAATAACAAGGTAATACCTTAAGTCTATACCTATAAAACAGGGAAAAACCTCCTACACAGGTTCCAAATCCGCAATGATTTCTAAGCATGCATGCTATTACACAGGCCCATTGCTTAAAATGTTGTACATTACTTGTTTATAATAAGTTAAATGTATAACTAACATATGTCTGCATATCAGAAAAGATTTATTAAGACAAGACATTTCCAATAATGCAGCAGTGTGTGTTTATACAAGGTGTGGCAATAAAGAACCCGGATTACTTTTATGACTCATTTCCGGCCACGTCATTGACGAAGAGGAGGGTAGGGCATTGACCCTTGGACTTCCCTCTACCGTCACACAAAGTTTCATTCACGTGCATCGGTTAGTCTGGCCGCGACCATTGTTAGAAGCGGATCGTGTTTCTGAGCTCCGTCGGAATAATGCTGAGTGCTAATGCAGAACAACGTGCTAACATCAAATTCCTCACAAAACTTGGAAAATCTGCCACTGAAACTTACAATTTGTTGACAGNACAGTTGTCCCCTACAAGTTACATGTCCCTCCACACATCACTAATTTCTGCACACTCTTTTGGAAATACCTTTTGAACCAGGAAATACTATACAGGATAATCAACCAATCAGTTAAATAATCTTAATTAATTCTATCATAAAGTGTTGCAAGAGCAGTTGACATTCAGCTAAGAAATTCCATGTTATGGAATACAAAAACTCTTAAACATCATTCCAAAAGCCCACCAGTGAACAGTACCCACAGTTCAGCTGATCACCACATCCTCATGACTCATTTCTCTATGACCTACTCAAAGGGATGTTTAAGTGTTCACAAAGAAAAAAACACCTTATGTGAAAGTCAAGACAAAGGTAAGTACAAACACCACTGCTTAAAAATGTATCTGCCTGTGACATGGTATCAGCACCTAAACTGTTGCGCAATTTTTTTAAATTGGCAAACAGGACTTTCACCAAGGTGTTAGGCAACTTCAGCCATACTGACTCATAACAAAGTCAACTTCAAATAAAGTCAGCAATGAACTTCATCATGTATATATCATATTTTTAGAAAAAGACCACAAGTACACTTAATAAACAGAACAGAATGTCATTAGGAAACACTATGGAACACACACTTTCTAATTTTGTCTTAATTTCATTATGTCATTCCAGTTAAGCAAAAGATACAGCACTATAGTTACCAATTTTTGCTTTAATCTTCACAGACATCAAAATAAAACTAAAATAATTTCAAAATATGTCTTTCTTATGTTTTGATTGAGTAAGAGGTGTACATAGGCCGAGCAATGAGATCTTTTGTGTGTACATGCATGTGTGTGTGTGTAAGGAGGGTTAGGGGATTAAAATTACCTTTCAATGTCTTTTGAATAAAGCTTAATAAATTATACATATGTCACTATTTTCTTTCAATAACCCACTTATTGTGTTCCTGTCCATATTACAGTATCAACTTTCTCCAGTGGCAAAACATAGAGAAACAAATGAATACCAAAAGTATTCACACTGTACAGAGTCACAAATTGCTTTCATTTTATCAGAAAATGTTATAGTTTAATATGGTTTGTATATTTTACATACATGCTACTGGGGCATGAGGCTGACCACTCACTTCCATCTCGAGCCAAGGTCAAGAATGGTGGAGCTATACCTCCACTCCCCCATATGTCTTAATGGAATGTACTCAATTAATTAAGCAGAGGGAAAACTTCGTCTTTTACCTTTACCTCTTTCTTAAGTGCCCTCACAGACAAATAGGTAGGCAGAGGCTCACCAAAGCTATTACATTAAGTCCCAACTTACACAATGAATTCATTACGAAGGTTTCTGTATAAGCTGAATTCTGCTCAAGTCCAACAGTGCTTAAATACAATATATTTTTGACATATACATCCATTTCAAAAAAATATTTAAAGGTGAAAAACATGTACAGTAAAAGTTTATCATAACATACCATGGTATAATGCATTACAATGTATAAATCCTGTATATCCAGTCTCAATGACTGTAGAAGTCAAAGTCAAACAGAAAAAAATACTTGTGTACTCATGTACCAATGGATTCTTACAACTCAAACCCATGTAAGTTGGGGACTTACGGTAGTAACTTTTCACTTTATCATAAATGTACTTAAATAAATGCTGAAAACTCACAATCTAGTCACAATGGTGATGTGTCTTATAGTATGCCATAGCATTTGCAACAGGCTTTATGTTAAAAATGAAGTCCTATCTCTGCAATGACAGAGAAGCACCAAACTAAGAACTCAATATGTGATGACTCAACAAGTCTGCTTGTATAGTCAATCAGGCCATATAATTTACATCATATTATCACCATTAAAACAAAAACCAAAGCAAAGTGACATACACCATTCAAATGTGAATACCTATATCCAGTTTGAAAAAACTACCACTGTGTGAATGAACGATGAGTTCACACTTTAGATTTGAATACAATGGCAGCAACTGTTGCTAGGTGGTACGAGTACATTCACATTCAATGCACACTAATTAAAAATGTAACATGAGCATTCTAGAACCAGTTACAAACTTAAGAGCTAAAGGACAGAATTCAGTGACATCAGTCGTCCATTATCCTAGGCTGTGCAAACATATCCTTGCACAGAAACAGACATGATGGTCACTGGACATTAGGCCTGCTTCAGCTTGTACATCAACCTAATTCCCAGTCACATTTCTGTGTGCACAGATAAATCTGTTATGCTCTGCTTGCCACTTGCTTCACTTTCTCTGTAACCCTGAGATGGGGCATGATGTTCCTCAGAAACATCAAACTTCTACCAGACTATACGGCATCACATTCCAGAAATAACTGCTGTGAGAACTTCATTTCCTAATTCATATTCCTTGAAATAATGTCAAAATTGTATCCAAATATGAGGCTACTTTTTCAGTCTTTTCCACATGTGAACATCTACTGGACACCCTGTATAGCTCTAACCAATATACCAATATACTATAGAGTACAGGTACGTTCAGAAATGTGGGAGATCAGAAATGTAGTTATTTTTTAAACTGGTTGGTCGGTGGCTGGCTGCTTTATCTGAATGGTGCACAGCAATCCTCATTTCAGGCCTGCCCATTTCTGTGTATGCTTGTATCTGCATGATTACTCTGATTATGTGCCTCAATTTTTTTTTGTTAACAAACTGTCAATGGGAAGTGACGTGGACAATGGGTGGGCTACATGAAAGTATTTTGGACACAGTATAAAGAAGAAAGTGGAGCTACTTCTGAAATTATAAAAAAGTACTTCCTTGAAACAATTAAGTGAAGAGTTTCAGATAAGTAAATCTACCCTACCGTATGTTCTTAAGTTAAAGAAGGAACAGCTGCTTACATTCTAAACTGACAACGATGTACACAAATCAATAAATAAACAAAAAAAAACTGTACACAAAGAAATAGACTGCTGATGTGGACAAAATGTTGCTTGAATGAATTAAGCAACATCAGAAGAGAAAATTTCTGCCTGACCGCCTCATGGACCCAGATGAATTTTTTCACAAGGAATAAACCCTATTATCATCACATGAATATCATTTTGAGTGGTTCAACAGATTTAAGCAGTGACATGCCCTTTATTTGCTTTGAGTTTCAAATGTTTTTATGTTGTCGTCAAAGACTACACAGCTTTGAATGGCAGGATAATTTATGAATAAATGGAGAGGGTTTAGATGGAAGCAAGTATGACATAATCAAGATACTATCCTGTCATTTGTTGGTGGGGGGGGCCTCAAGATAGCTGGTGTCCAAGATGAGATTAAAAACAAGTGTCTCCTGAATACACGCCTAGAATACTGCTATCACACCAGCCTCCTCAACACTCTAGTATAGCAGCAGATAACACATTTACTCCATATCTGCAAGGCATTCAATTCATATCACCTCCTCAAATACAGCTTTCCTCAAATCAGCTACATTCACCAAGAAAGTATCTCAATCCTTTGTAGTACTTAATGCAGCACAATAAAATAAAATTAAATGTTCCAAACAACATACTAAAATACACTGCACAGGCCTTTACAGATGATCCTATAGAGTCACGATATTGTGAACTTAAACACCACGATATATGGACAAATCAAGCAATAATGACATCTTCCCACTTTCTTGACTTTTCATTCAGAAAGAGTACACAATACCCACAATTCAATACAACCTAATTTATTGTTCCTATCAAACCATTAGCATATGTACCACTATTATCGGGTAGCAAGCCATATTTCAGCCATGTAGAGAAAACATAATGAATATCAACAGAAGCAGAATGATAAGTGCAAAACTATTATGTGCTTCATGTCTTTTTGTACAAGTTAATTAGGCAACATAATGGATTAAAATCAACAGGCATCACTACAAGGCATTCGGTTACAGCCATGTCTCAGATTTTTGTTAAGTTAGTCACTTCTGATATGGCTTCATTAAACATAGCCTCACGATATTTACATTATCAACTGTGTTGCAGTGATAATTGCTGTATATACATTTTCTTGAAAAAATATGGGTCTCTGAGAATAATTATTCCACATTTGTCTGTGATATCATTCTTTATTTATAGAAAACTACAACAGCAAGCAAAAATTGTAGAACAGAACTTTCATAAAGCTGTTACTACTCAATAAGCTAAAAACATCAGCCATTAGCACCCAAACATGATATAAAATGTGGGATAACAGAAATGCAAGTGGTAACATTATTCTGGAACACACTGTAGTATTGTAATTTTGTTGTAGATTATCAATATTTATCTACAGTAAAAAGGAACATTCAGAAGCAGTATACACAACTATCACAATTCTAACATTCTTAATGTAGCAACTGAACATATGTTTACATCAGGCTTACCTGCAGAAAGCTTCCTTGCCCAGACATACACTCTCACTGTACTGTAAGCTTGACCAGCATCTGGAATATCAAGTCTGCTGCCCCGAGTTAAGTAAAGATTGTGTGGTATGTTGGCATTTTGCAAGAAACTGGTCAAACAATACACTGACCTGTAAACATGAAATCACAGTCATGAACTTTTACACAACAGTAATTAAATTCACTAGCTTTATTATGCACAATTTTCTATTTCAGATCTAGTTTCTGGAATACAGGACAATGGAAAAAGTCCCAAAACCCAGTAATTCTGAGTGTTTAAACCATCATCAAAACCCTTTAGAATCTAATTTTCTACTTGCTTAACTATTTCATACTTGATTTGTTTCATTCTGGTCCGTCACACTAACAATATTATAAAAGATAAAACAACTCCATCTAGTGTGACTGTTGAAGTTTTTTACTACTTCAATTCTTAACACCCTGTAGCCGCTCTCTGACTTACAGCTGCCACAACTGTCGCTTGAGCATGAGTTCGTAATCACAGGATACGGGTGCTTCGGAGATGGGAGTGGAATACACTTCGGGGTTAATAAATCCAGGATCTCCAGAACATTGAATATCATACTTTTAATTTAAAATTTCAGTTAACTGTTAATATTTGCATGGTCCTTCAAGCTAGCCGCTCCATCCGCCCTACTCACTACCCTACTGTTAAACACGTCTTTCTTCTATATCTACCTTTCAACTACTGTCCTCCTCCGCTCCCTATAACCGACTGTCCTCTCTTTACCAGTCCCCCAGTTGGCATCAGAAAAACAAGAAAATAAAAAGAGAAAGCCAAGGGTCGAGCCCGGCATCTGACCTATATTTTAAAGAAGCCCATAAATTCTTGTAGGTTTTCAAGGAACCCAAGACCTCTCCTGGCCAGTCTCGCACACGGTCAGTTCATGGGTTTATGATATATTGGGAGTAAACAGGCGATGTTAGGGACAATAGTGGCACCCTTAGTCTAAGGAGGACAATAGCTGAATTACAACTAGATGGTCCCGGGATGGTATCTCGCCGATGGAGCGTCTCTCATGGTGTTAAACAATGCATTAGTTGTTCGTACCCTTAATTAAATAATTTTGGCGAGGGACGTACAGTTACAACCCTTACATGTTTCGGTCCCTATAGACCATCATCAGAGGGACATCGATATTCTTTGGAAACCACTATTACAATGTAAAAAAAAAATAGCATGCCACAAACAAACACAGGACAATATCAAAGAACGTCTTTCTCAAGAAAGACAGGCGGCACAAGTTCAACCCCCGTCAAGAAAGGCGATAAGACAAGGGACACGAACCTATTTGGTTTATAAATTTTAACTTAAATAACAAAAGTTTTAAAAAACTTTAATATACCAAGACAACCGCTGTAGTTGTGAAAAACTTTGGATTTTGTATATACTGTGCATTACAAACATTGTATGTGTATATATTATAACATTCAGAACACCCACTGTAATAGCAAATATGAGTACAAAATGAAAAAGAGGAATCTAGTAGTTCCTCATCACACAATATTTTCAATTCCACAGCCCGTTTATTCCTGTCAGATTCAAATATTTTCCATTGTTTTCAAATGCCTTCTTTCTCCATGTCTCTGAAGGTGAAGGACCATATTTATACACAATCACAGAAACCTCCATCAACTGCTAATTTCCTTGCAAAGATTCAAACCAGGAGCTTCCTGATTACAAGCCAGGCAAGTTACCCCTAAGACAAACATGAAGTGAACATTTTTGTACTACTCAACTGCAATGTCAGTCTGAATCTCAAACAGATCACCAACTAGTCTGTGAAAAAAAACTTCTTGGTTTTGCTCAGGCCTTCCATGCAAACATGGAGTAATACCTTCAAATTGACCACAACTACTTTCTTACCCACACTTCATAATTTACTTAAAATATTCACGATTTTGTCTAATTTGATTCTAAGTAACCTCTGCAATTGATAGAGTGATATGACATAATGTACAAACCATATACACCCATTTTGCAGCAACTTAGAACCTGTAGATCAAAAGTGTATGTTGCTGCTGTCAGCAGAACTGAGATCTCAACTGTACTTAAATGGCCAAAGAATTTTGAACTACCTGGAGGAAAAATGTACTATCCTCCAACAATGGGAACACTAGGCAAGTTGGTAGAATTAGTTGACCCTGACCTTTCTGCTCTACATTTAGAGACACACTGAGATTCTCTGTACCAATGGTAACAGTAAGAGTTTTTGAAAATTAAGCTTATGTTTTCAGAAAACACAGTATAAATGGGCAAGCCCAGGTAATTTTTCTTCTTTAAAGGACAGTAGGTGCTACTTATCCATAGATTGGGGCCGCACCATAGCTCAAGTGGTTAGTTGCTGACTTCCCACCATGGTGGCCCGGGTTCAATCCCGGGTCTGGTCAAGTGGGATTTGTGGTGGACATAGTGGCACTGGGGCAGGTTTTCTCCAAGTACTTCGGTTTCCCCTGCCAATCTTCATTCCACCAACTGCTCCACAATCACCCTCACCTATCATCTGGGGCTGGTACAATAGGCCAGAAGTGGCCGCAGTACAAGGGACTTAGTCCCACCCCACTAGCAATAAAGAAAATACCCATAGACTGAATGGGGAACAGACTTTCATTTCACTAACTGATTTTATCATATACATAAAGTAATCGGAAAATGAATTCATTAATAAAAAAATTAAAAATTTAAGGTGGTTGACACTGGTTATTAATATTCTGTGAATTTAGGTATATTTTATTTGATGTCACTGTCCAACTTCCTAGATCAAACTCTTACAGGTTTCAACTCTAAAGGACCAAAAACTGCAGTTGACTGCTCTGAACCTAAGCTGTTTTGTTCTAACTCACACCTTTCATGTTTCAATTCTCAAAACCTATTAAAAAGTCAGAATCATAACTGGGTACATTCTATGGTTCTAGAATCTTCCATGATCTCTCATTAGCAATACAAAATCGCATGATGTCATAAATCTGAGAATATTAAGCAAAGCTACGCATCCTCCCTATAGCAAGTCCTTGGTCTAGATTTCTAAAAGGATCCCAATCCCCAACTTCTTATCCATGGTACATCAAGTATAGCCTATACCCTCCCACTAGTGGCTGTGTGAATCCCTACCCATTCTTCAACATTATACCCATGCATTCTCCAACCCACAGTTTCAACACAGTGACACATCTTTCAACACTAGCTGACAACTGAAAGCAACATGGCAAAAAAAATTTGTAAAACCTATACCCTATAAATTCCCATAACAGACAATAATGACAGAAATGTGACTAAATAATTAACGCCAATAACATAATTTATAACTGACCCAAATATATGATTTCCAGCACAACTAACTCTTTGTAAAATATTACATATTTTTAAGCAAAGCTAAACCATAAAGAAATGGAAATTTCTGTACCATGTTGAAAAGTTTAAAAGGAAACATGGCTCCTCTTCATATAAACATAGTAAGTTACCTTGCCAAATCTACTATGCTTCGGTTCTCTGGCAGTTGGAACACAAAGCCTGGTGCTGGGTATTCCACAAGCTGGTAACAAGGGCCACTTAAATGGTCAACTTTCTGAAAAAGAAAATGCAAAACTCTTCCTTAGAACAGTCATAAACAAGGCAGGCTTATCTGAGAAGTGAGATAAATATTTTTGATACAGGTGGCTTATATCCATCTATTATTTTCTCCATCTCCTCAACCAGCCAGACAGAAATAAAAATTACTGGCTTACAAAGAAAGAAAATTACACAATGATAACTTCAGGAACTTTTTTATTTATTTATGGCTTACTTAATGACAATGCCAGCAGAGTGACTGGATGATTAATGAATAATAAATTGGGAACAATATTGAAGGAGGTACAGCCTATTTGGGGTATTATTCTGGTCTGGAGGCACTGAGGAAAACCATAAAATATCTGAGTGAAGGTAACCAATATCTGGGCCAAGATTCAAACCCATAGCTTCCTGGATACAAAGGCCATACCATAGCTCAAGTGTTAGTCACTGGCTTCCCACCGCATTGACCCGGGTTCAAACCCGGGTCTGGTCAAGTGGGATTTATGGTGGACAATGTGGCGCTGGGGTAGGTTTACTCTGAGTACTTTGGTTTCCCCTGCCAATCTTCATTCCACCAATTCCCCATCATCATAATCACCTGGGGCACGTATAATAGTCCAATCAGTGGCCGCTGTGCCGAGTGGACCCAACTGGACTCCAACCCCCACTATGCGAAAAAAATTCCCGAATATAAAGTACAGTGCCACTGATTCAACCTCTCATTGGTCAATAGTTCAATGACTGTAGTGACCATCAAGAAATGTAAATCAGTGGTACATTTACATAGTCAAAAACTCAATTTTCATGCTGTTTACTACACACTAACATAGTCTTCTCACACTGTGCCATTTTCAGACCAGTAATTCAAAGACCTGTAGTGGCAGAACCAGGAAACATCACACAGAAATGCAGCAACATCTGATTGAATGAGTGCATGGGTTTCCATATTCGAAAAATAAAACATAAGCATTACTTTTCAGCATGCCCTCATCCATGTAATTCAAAGGGCCAGCTAATGTGTGGACACTATACACAACAACAGATCACAGGGAAATAGAGAGACTGCACCATGTTAAAGCACAACATGACTCCAGCATGGCAACTGTGCTTATGTCACAATGTGACTTTGGATTCCATAACCAAAACAAAGTATGAATGGCAGGATGAATTTTTTTTATTGTTAGTGGGGTGGGACTAAGTCCCTTGAACTGTGGCCACTTCTGGCCTATTGTACCAGCCCCAGATGATGAGGGGGGGTGATTGTGGAGCAATTGGTAGAACAAAGATTGGCAGGGGAAACCAAAGTATTCGGAGAAAACCTGCCCCAGCGCCACTTTGTCCACCACAAATCCCACTTAACTAGACCCGGGATCGAACCCGGGCTCCCGGGGTGGGAAGCCAGTGACTAACCGCTTGAGCTATGGCACAGCCAATGACAGGATGAAAGTAAGTGGGTGCATGGGTGGGTCAATGGATGGGTGGTTGGACAGATGGATGGATGGGACGGACGGACGGACGGACAGATGGATGAATGGGCAACAGATGGATGGATGGACAACAGACAGATAGATGGAAAACAGATGGATGTCTGAGATTCCAGGAGGTAAGTGTGCAAGTGGGTGGGTCAGTTTATGAGGTGACTAATTGTAATCCACTACTACAACATGAGAAGCATGTTCATACTCACAATGTGCTCCAAGAGCATATGATGCTGCAGATAGTACAGGTGATAGTGTAAATGATTAACTGATGCAAATGCACACAGACCATTGAACCCCACTCTCAATGCCCTAGAAAAAATTAAATGGCAAAAAATAAGTGGAAGGTTTAAGAGCTAATTGTCGTACTGCGAGACAGAATGCAACTGGCCCATAGGGTTGTGAGACGTTGAGGGTCCCACACTATCTAGACAATCGGCACAAAGATGGCGGTAAGGTTGTGAGCCTTACACACTGGCCGCACTTTACTCCCCAGGAAAATTATTTAATTACTTCCTGGTACTCATTTCTGTTAGAGGCTGAATGAATCCCAGGGCCATAGTGCAGCTGGAAGGATTAGGTCACCTGCAAAAAATCCAGTGACCTCATCAGGACTTGATCCCACGACCTTCCAGCTTGTAGCATAGCCCTTCAACCAACTATGCTACCGCGTGCCCCCATTAACACATGAGTAATCCATAATATTTAAAGATTCAACAACATAACTTCACTAAATTCTGACTTACGGTGATCCACTAAGCAGCAGAACCTCTACAATGAGCTGTATGCTTTCCAAAGTTACCACCTGTGGTAGACAGTTAAACAAGTCTGGCAAGAGAAGAGTATGTCCATATTCCAAAGGGCTCACATTTATAATGAGGAAATGTCCCACAGAATCTATTCTAGATTTATTTTTAATTTCGAACAGGTATTCTTCTTTCTTAACTTTTGTGAAGTTGAACTTTGTAGCATCAAATGGCTGGGAGATGCCTGTTATCTTTTCAGGTGCCCGCCTGTTTAAATGTCGATCAACATTGAGCTGTGAACACAAACAATGTTCATTACTTGATTTCTTAATTAGTGGGAAGATACACCAAAAACACTCTTGCAATTAAGTCTTCTTGAGTGATTGGCCAAAACTGGAGTTAATAACCAATGTTTCTAAGACTGCCTCCACATCAGGGATTGAAATGATAAGTGATGTGGCTGCTCCAGTCAAACCTACAGAGAAAGCTCTTGGAATATGGCATTCTGTCCCAGCGCACACCACAGGGGGAAGAGAGGGTAGAGTCAGGTGGTCAGTGGATGTGCAGACACATCACTTATCACACCAACCTGTGACGATGCAGACAGAAACCTAAGAATAATATATAAGAATGCTCTTACCAACTTCAGAGGTTACAAGATATAAATTGAAATATGAGCACAATCATAAATCATGAGAGGGGGGAGGGAAGGAAGTAAGATGGACAGACAGATAGACAAACAAACATATAAATCAATAACAGCCACAGACATAGAATAGGCAACTCCCTGAATTATGTGCTTATAGTTAATTCAGGTTACATATAAACTAGGCCCAAATGACAGCAAATAATGGATTGAAAAGAATGTGAAAGAAAATGAAATTTGCCTAATTTAAGGGAATATCCCAAACAATTTATGGCTGTGACATCTCTAGTGTAATTAGCTTTGTGACAACAGATTTATATTTGAAATAAGTGAATATGAGAGCCAATAAAGTATTTCAAATAGCAAAGGATGCATACAGCACACTTGACTCCCGTTTTATTTTTATCTACGTTCTGTAAAGCAAATTAACTCACATAGCAATGCTTCTGGTTTATATTCAGGAGATGCTCCGTTCAAATCCTGGTTGGAACATTTATTACCACAAAAAGTTTTCTGTGGTTTCCCTCAGTCCATCCAGGTAAAATATGAGATAACACCTCAAATCAGGCAGTGTCCATTTCCTTGCACATCCTACCCTGTTCATTATTCACTATCATTCTACCATTCAGAGCTCTATTGGTCTTAGCTACAGACAGTGCTAAATAAATATTAAATAAATAAATCATCCACCTTTCCGAACATTTATACATTTATACCTGAACTCTACCAAGGGACAAAAGATTTTCTATTAAATTATTTTAAGTTACAATGTTCAAAAGATTTCTCCTCCAAATCAGTTACCTCATTATGGGTGTAAACACAGAACAAGCTGTCATCTCTTCATTTATAGTAAAGTTTCAAATGACACTTATCAACTATTTCAAGAGGATGATTACGAATGTTGGTCAGAAAAATATGCAGGAGGAAGCAACATACCATTCTGGATAATGCCAGAATGACTGTAATTTTTGAAACCCAATCTGGTATCTCAATGATAAAAAAAAAGGAGGACTGGCATCTACAGTATATTTGCTAAAGATGTGTTAAAAACAGTCCACAGAAAATCCTGAGTATATTTTTTGAAGCAGTGTCATATCATTGTAATTGGCAAGTAGTAGTGATTCCATGATAACAGACAGGTTGGTCTAGAGGTGACGCTGTATTAAAGACATGTATTCTGGTGATGCATGGCCCAAATTTCGGGTAGGACAGCGACTATCCTAACTGGGGCTTTTTATGGTTACCTAGAGTCCCTCCAGGCAAATGGTGGGCTAGTACCTTGACTAGGCCAAGGCCACCGAAGGCCACTGCCTTCCAAATCACTTCCAATTCTGTCTTCGCCTATTATTGTACCATCCAGCGCTATAAAGTCTCGATGCTGAAAGCATCGTTAAATAACCCTCCCTCCCTTCCAAAATGAATTCCATAATGTTTGTTGCTTTTGGTATACTTTTGAGTTCTTAATGAGACGTTACATAAACATGCATTATAAACATAATATATGGACGAAACAGAATAAAACATAGAGATAACATATGTAACACGTTCAAACGCATAAAAACTTTACAAGAAAAACAAGCTGAAAATCCTCATCCATTCCTTTTAGCTTTAGCCATGGCGCCACCAGGAATGCCGATTAAATGAATGTACGTTTCGGTATAAAATGTATTATAAGTGAAGTGAATATTAGCAACAAAACTCAAACGATCAAAATGTATACCACTGTTTACCTGCGCTAAAAAGGAGTACTTTCCTGGTAATACTCTCGCATGCTTAATATTCAGGCGGTACCGAAAGTACCCTTTCTCCACACCACTGTTCCATTGAGACTGCAGCCTAATGTCAAATTTGCTGTTCGTATTTTCAGTGGAGTTCCTATGGGTCTCATAAATAAAATCATCTTCACAATAAATCATCAACTTGTCGGAGCGAACTCAACGTTCATCGTACACTACACACCGCTACACACTTTTACAATACAACCAATCTTTCACGTGCACCATGCTGGCCAAAGAATGTAAGTGCAGAAGATATGCTTCTAGTCAATATATGACTGCATTTCCAACTAATTATCTAATTTCAGACCTCTAACGAAGCAATTGTTCTGAAACGTTCTGAATTAGCAATGGTATTACTTCCCAGACATACTAATCAGATTGCCAATTATTATAACAGGCCTAGCCTTTACAGTTTCATCCAAGCAATTTCATTCTGAGTTACGTTCGTACTTCCCTTACAGGAATAACCTATAAAAGTATCGTTACAAAGTCAGTTACGAACAATGGCAAGAACCGGAAAAACCTTCTTGTAGAAACTCGGGAGAAGTTTGTACATGCCACGATCGGCCACGATGGTACCTGTTCGCTAGCATTCGCTAGTTACTTGTTAAAAGACTCCATAAAAAAAATAAATTATGTTAGGAATATTGCCTAAGTGTATTTAAACGAACTACAGTGCGGTCATATTTTTTGCGATTTTCTAAGAGTGCGATATAAAAACATTAATGAATTCTCACTTTATACGCGTAGTTTGAAATAATACAAATCCAACAAATCCCGCAAGAATCACACGCTTCAAAACTTTTATTCAATTATGCGAGGCCATCAGGAATATATCTTCACATAAAAGTGGTTGCACTGTATTTTATTTAAATAAAAAATTTACTATGGAGGAATATAGTATTTGAGCTTGACTTTTTTAAACACAGCTAACAATATTTTGTTCAAATTTCCTATATCTAGACGGATGTTAATCTATACAGAACACCTTTTAAAGTAATGAATTTGTTCATAATATCCTTCAGTATTCTCCTTATTTCTTGATTTTGCTTTTATGTAGTACAATATTGTAGTATAAGTTTGAATTGATGGTAATGTTTTTCAGTCATGTTTGATATTCAGAGCTTGTAGAACTTGATTTACTATTAAATCTTTCAGTCACTAGGAGCTTGGACAGCTTGGCACATTTAGTGACTATGCTACAGGTCGACTTGAACTGAGATTTGATTTCTGGCAGGGGAAAGTGATTTTTGTCTTCTCCACAGTATTCAACATTGGCTATGGTGCCTGCCAACTCTCCTATCCAGTAGATATGGTAGCTCTTTCTGTGGGAGTAACACAGTTCAGGCATGAATCTGACCACTCATTTCATCTAGTACCAACTTAAGAACAAGGAGAAATCTACAACAATCTGAACTTCTGGTTTCCCATTCAACAGATTTATCAAAATCATCCATTCTACTGTCTTGTTCCAGTTGTACATGTTATTTCAGTTCCTGGCCCTTCATTCATCAACCTTTTTGATGATAATGGGTAATTCATTTTCTTAAATATTCAAAGAGACAGCATTATTCATTCTAAGGATGTTCTGCCACTGGCAAAACTGACAGCATACACCAGCTGTACTTGACGCTCGCACGATGAAGTAAGGAACTGAGGGATTAGGTTTCTTGCTTAGGATCAGGAAATGTCTTCAGACAGATTATAATTATAAATGCATAGATATATATTTCCTGCACCAGTCTTTTGCCGTTGCAACAAACACACAATAGAAAACAGTCTTACTGCACACTAATGTCACTTTTCCTGTAAAACTGAAGTAAGAAACCAGTTCACCCAATTACATGCAATTGTGGGCACAAAGGCTGCTGAAACTGAATTTCAAACATATCAATGCGAGTGGTCTCACAAAAAGTGAGGGGAATGTTTTGAGCAAAAATAATCGCATATTGCATACAGCCATTTTCATGCAATTGGTTGTGCCACTGGAAGAGCAGCCTAATTCTTTATCCTTGTTCAAATTTTGTTAGTACATTTCATTGAGTTCAGTTTTTTTAATTGAACCAAGTATCCATTATACCTGAAGTTCTTCAATTTTACTATATTTCAAATTGATTTGGAATGGATGAGCATTTAAAGTATACTTTCTTCATAAAATGTTCTCTTGGTGTGTAAATTATATTTTTTCCATGTACAGAAAAACCCCAAATGCATAAAATCAAATATGGTACTGCTTTGGAAAAAAACTGGATATGAATGGAAAACCATGGATACTTGAAATTCAGTTTGTGAGGGGTTACTCTAAGGAAAAACAGGAGTATATTATATTAGATGTGTAGTGCAGTCAGTATAGCGATTGGCTACGGGCTGGATGACCGAGGGGTCAGAGTTCGAGTCCTGGTAGGTTCAAGAATTTTCACTTTGCCATGTCATCCAGACTGGCTCTGGGATCCACCCAGTCTCCTATCCAATCAGTACCAGGGTTTCTTTCCTGGGGGAGGCTGAAGCGGCCAGGGTGTGAAGCCGACCACTCACCTCCAACTAATGCTGCGGTCAAGAAAATATGATCTGTACAGCCATTCCCCATACGCCTTCATAGGGTAGTGCTTAATTAGGTAAGCACAGGGACAACTTTACCGTTTTGACTTCAGACTCCGTTGGAAAATGATTTCTTCATACTCCATGTCTACAGAAGGTAAAGTTCAGTTAAGTTCAATGTGTCCATCAAAAATGTGGAACTGCAAAAGTGGGGTTAGTGCCATCACACTATGCAATGTAGTCTGTATATCAGTTGCAGATATTCTCTACATACCACTACGACTAAGGAGTGCCTTTCAAGGAATTATTTGATTATATTCATCCTAAGAAACTTCTGCCAATACAGGATCACTTGTGTAAACTTGGTATTTACATAAATCAGATGGTACCAAAAATATTTTAAAAGGCAATGATAAAATGGATCCACAGATCTGAATGGAACTCTTACCGAAGCTGTATCTAAGAATATCTAAGAATGTGTATAAAAAGATTTGTTCAATTTGATTGACACAGGCAAATATTTTCAGTTCTGAATATTAGAATTTTTATATTTGTAATACCAACTTTTTGAAGGAATCTAATCATGCTTCACTGAAGTTTGTCCATGGCAAAGGTTCTCCGGAATCCACCAGAATAACATGTTTTCAGTGAACAGTTAATGTACAAAACTGCTCCAGTCTCTACACTTAGTGCAACATAATAAAGTAAGTGAAGTAAGTGTAAAGCTATCCCTGTAACAGGCCGCGAAGGCAGGCCCATAGGGTTGTGAGACGTTGAGGGTCCCACATTATCTAGACAATCGGCTCAAAGTTGGCGTTAAGGTTGTCAGCCTTACGCGCCGGCCGCGCTTTACTCCCCAGGAAAATTATTTAATTCCAGGTACTCATTTCTGTTAGAGGCTGAGTCGACCCCAGGGACATAGTGTAGCTGTAAGGATTAGGTCAACTGAAAAAAATCCAATGACCTCATTGGGACTTGAACCTGCGACCGTCCAGCTTGTAGCATAGTGCCTCAATCAACTATGCTACCGCACGCCCCAGTGCAACATAATAACTGAAAATATTTGCCCTTTCATACCACAAGATTTTTTTAATATTATTCTTAATGGGGTGAGACTGATTCCATTACTGGCCTATTATGTACACATACTTGAGGATATTTTACCCAGCCTACAAGATTCATTCCACTTTATAGAC